CTTTTATGGTTGTGATTCTGATATTTACAATCATTATCTATATTTACTATTATTACGCAAAAAATAGTAATAAAAAATTTTATTAAAAATAGCTGCCAAATGCATTTTGTATACAATTTATTTTTCTGTTTGGTGGCAAAATAAAATTATATTGTCTATTCGTTTTGTTATTTTCGTTCGAACATTTAATATTACATGGTTCGGGAAAATGAGATAATTTATATGATTGTTCAATTAAGAGAACCATAAATAAATAAATATATAATATAGATATGATAAAACATACAACTGTACTTTTTAAACTACCTTCCAGCAGCCGAGTATTTTAACGGATGATACCATCAATTTTTAATTGTCGTGGTTTCCGCTATCAACTCCCTAGCACTCGATAATTCCGGCAGCCAGCTGTTGTCGAAAATACTGGACAGTTTCATTGATGCCCTGTTTAAGCGACCACCGCGGACTCCATCCCAAAAACTCTGAAGCACGCGAAATATCAGGTTTCCGTTGCTTCGGATCATCAGTGGTCCCAGGTAATCTGATATGCTTACTATTCGGATTTACCTCATTTCTAATGAATTCGGCAAACTCCATAATCGTGTATTCGTCCGGATTTCCGAGATTCACCGGTTCCTTGTAATCACTGTTCATCAATAGTATTAGACCATCGATCAGATCGTGAATATACTGAAATGATCGAGTTTGTTGTCCGTCTCCGTAAATTGTTAAATCTTCGCCTTTTAACGCTTGCATGATAAAATTGCTTACTACGCGACCATCATTCTCGTTCATACGTGGACCAAATGTGTTGAATATACGTGCTACTCGAACATCCACGTTGTCTTGGTGCATATATCCATATGTTAGAGTTTCGGCGACTCGTTTACCTTCGTCGTAGCATGCGCGCGGACCTATTGGATTCACATTGCCCCAATATGTTTCTGGTTGTGGATGTTCCTCTGGGTCACCATATACCTCTAACGTTAAAATTCAGTTTATAATTAATATTCATTTTAACCATCATCCTCTAAAACTAAATATCATAAAATGAATGCCAAGTTACCTGACGTAGAAGTCAACAGAAATCGCGCTTTAACTCGTTTAGCAAGACCCAACATATTAATAGTCCCCATCACGCTAGTTTTTATCGTCTTAATAGGATTATACTGGTAGTGCGGCGGTGATGCCGGACATGCTAAATGATAAATCTGGTCAACCTCAATCATGAACGGATCCACCACATCATGTCGAATCAACTCGAAATTCGGGTGTCCAATCCAATGATCAAGATTATTCTTTCGCCCGGTGAAGAAATTATCAATTACCGTTACTTCGTGCCCCATTAGCATTAAGCGGTCAACTAAATGTGAACCGACAAATCCTGCACCACCTGTCACCAGTATACGTTTTTTATCACGCAGATTCAATAACTTTACTGGGAAGAAAGAACGTGCCTTCAAATATGATATTGTTCGTGTCCCGGGATCAAGGAGTCGATGGTGTGGATGTTCTGGGAGATAAATATAGCGTAAGAGGTCTAGTGGAACCACAGAATTTACAGAGGGATGACCGACGGTCACTATTGTTTCGCCATCTTTTGCAAATGTTGAGTCCTCAGAAATACTCCATAATTGCTGTCCGTTTTGCCAGTGGTCTATGATTACATCTTTGACATCAAAGCTATTGCTATCAACGTTATTTGCGTTGAAGGTGTCATCACCACGACCATTCTTGTGAGACTCTTTTTTATCACTCTCAGAAATGGT